TGAGGGGCTGAGGGAAAGCGGGTGCCTCTCTTTCAGCCCCCGGACCGAAAAATGGCCATAGCGGCAGTCACCGAGGCGGAAACCCGGCTGTGTGGCAACTGGTAAGATACGAAACCGAATGCTCGGCAGGGCGGGCTCTGTGCTGGGGCCTGGCCTTGGGGCAGGCGAGCTCAGAGATGAAATAAGCGCCCTGTGTTCCCTGAGAATGCTGCGAGATACCGGAAGGTGCAAATTAATAATGAACGTACTATCTTTTTAGAAACGTTTGGGTTTGGCTTTTGGTTTTACCTTGTCAAACGTTAATGTCTTACGAAGTAATTTTCCCAACTTTGCTCAAGTTTCTGAGTCAACTAGGTAGAAACCAAAGTATTCAAATAGCAATAAAGACTTGATTTTCAGTGAGGTACACATGAAGTACATGATTCCAAGTTTTTCTGTAGCGGCTCTGTGGCTCAGAAGCAGAGAAGTAAAAATACAATCGATAGGCACGTATTGTGGCGGCTGTTTCTCTTTGATAACAGTTCTTCAGAAGCTCTAGTGTCGGTAATACGTTTACTGATAATGATGTAACCTCAGAAGTTACATCTTGAATACGAGCGAGGAAATTAACTTCTTTTTTTTGTCAAGGATTCATCGGAATCCAAACAGTTTCTTGCAACATCAGTCTGGTTTGTTTGCAAGCAGTGAGTACGTGCAGTTCAGACGCTGCTGTTGGACTTTGTTGTTTTGCCAGGCTGTTGGCTGCTTGGGATCTGGCAGGGGAGAAAACAGAACAGCTGTAGCGTTTTCCTTTGTGACATGGAAGGCACTAAGCAATAGGTTCTAAAGTTATTTTGGTGTTTTGAAGGCTGATTTCGTGTGTGCAGTGGGGGAATGATAACATCCATGTAGAAATGAGGCTGCCTGCTTGAGGCAGGAATAAGGGCTAAGCAACCAGTGCCTCAGTTCTTTTTGCACCTTTTGTGTGTGTAAGCCTTGCATCCTCCTCGAGAAAGGAAAATGAGTATCGTAGAAATGAGGTGAGTTGGGGAATTTTGGCTGCAGAGTAATACTGTTACTGCTATCATTCCCTAAACAGATCTGGCCTAACAGGATCCGTTATTTATTTTTTCCAAGCCGAGCACTGTTTGACCTCTCATAGCCAAGTTATTTCCAGGAAAAAACTTTTATCTTCTCAGATGAGTTCATTAACTTGAACATGGTGATAACTTGTTTATGCTGCAAAATTTGTCTTTCACATAAGGAAATAAATCCACCTTGATTTTATCTTAATGCACTGTGAAAACTGTGACCTTACATGCTATATACATTAATATCCCCACTGTAAAGGAACATGGAGGCCTGGTTGGGCTTGCCTTTCTCTTGGTTACTCAGATCTCTAACCCGTGAATTCATAGAAAGCTTTCTTAGGAATATTTTTTTTTTTTAATGAAAAACTGCTTGAAATTGTTTTCTGAATTCTTCTGTTTTCTGAAAAGTAACCTCTGTGTCTTTCTCATAGCAAAAAGGATATTCCTGTTGCTAATTTCATCATGCATGAAATCCACTGTAGCAAAAATATTGAAGTATGCCGCTACTGCAGTGAATTAATCCCAAAGTCTGAAATGAAGAACCATATTGAGTCTGAGCATGTGCAGGTGAGAAACAAATTTCTCCTCTAAAATTGCTGACTTCTGTGGCAATTAATCTAATGAGGTCTGTTTATTGTAGGTTACCTGCAAGTGTAGGATGAAGATAGAAAAATGTCTCTTGCAGGATCATGAGGTTGGTGGACTTTATGTTATTAGACACTTGGAAGATACTCTGCGCTATTCCTAAGCACTGATTCTAGTGCCTTTCTGTCAGCCAAGACCTGGATTCCAGCCTGTGATTGATGCATCCTTTTTATTGAACCATGCGTTCTAAATTCACACCCTCTGACAGAGTGTGGCTGGAAACTGCCTTAAAGTGGTGGAGCCTGCTCAGGCCTTCTTATAAAAGGGGTATCTGTGATAATCGTTTTTTTTGTCCTTATTAGTGATGAAGATGAAAAAAGGTACGCTATTTCAAAAGTACAGAATATGATTAACTTGGTTTTTTTCATTCCTTTAACATTACGTGTTTCTGACTCTGCTGCAGTCATTGCGTGAGTTTTAAAAACTCATTGCGTCCGAACAGACTTTTAAAATAGCTTGTAAAATTAAAATGGGTCACAGTGGGATTTTCTGAGTTTCTGAATCCAGTTGGCTGCTGTCACAGGCAATCTTATTATAAATGTCAGTACCTTCCCTTCCTATGGGCTCATTTAAAGACAGCTCTGGAAGTGCCACACAGGTCTGCTTATCAGTGAGGAAAAATGGATTTTCATTAAAGATATGTCCAGTTCAAAACCCTGGAAGTAGTTTATTGTGCACGTTTGTGTGTAGTGCTTTTAGTTTTGTTTATAAAGCAAATGATGATGCATTATTGCAGCATCTGCAATTACAACATGTATTTCATCTATGTTTAACCCCTTTTGAAGGGCAACTTACCTGTCACACAGCGTAGGGTAAAGAACATATGCAAGCAATTCTTGTTGAGTAGTAAATGTGCTGTAAATCTGTTCCCTAATATAACACATGCTAACATATTTTAGCAGTACTGAATGAAAAGTGATTAGTACTGGATGTCAAGACCATATGTAAAAGCTAACTTCAAAAAGCACCATGTGAATCTGCTGTCCAAGTGTTACAGACTTAAAAAAAATGTTCTGAGTATTTGGAGTGCTTCAGCTGGCACATTTATGACTACACAGCTTATACGACATGCTGTTCTTATATTTCTCATGTAGTATCTTATTTCAGGCTATTCCTTAGTGTAACTTTGGATCTGCCCAAAGAAACAATAGATGGCTCAACTATTAAGCTAACTGAGAACCTCCCTCCACCTTTGCCTCAGTCTTCCATATGTGAAGAATAATCCCTCTTTCTTTTTCCAGGAGTCAGAGTGCCCTCTGCGTCCTGCCTCCTGCCAGTACTGTGACATACAGCTCGCTTTCAACAAGCTCCAGGACCATGAAATTTACTGCGGAGCTAGGACTGAGAGATGTGGTGGGTGCGGTCATAACATCATGGTGAAAGATCTAAAAGAGCATCCTCAAGTCTGTGGGCAAGAGGTGAAACAAGTAAGACGAAGCAGAACAGTGCCTCGCTTTGAGGATGAGGATGCAGATTTGCACACCCTTCGAGACATTAGAAACCGACTAAGATCAGGTAACTATGCCGGGCCTTTGTGGAGAATGCCCAGGGTGCTAGAAAAGCAGATTTATAGCAGCTCTGTAGGAGACAAAACACTTAAGGACATTAGCAGAAGAAATGTAGCAGCAGAAAGAAATCAAAAGTGAGGTAAGGTGTAGGGAAGAGTAATAATTGGTTTCTAATTTGACATTTGGCAGCTGATCCAAGTATAAGGTTTTGTAATTGCTTTCTGTGAAAATACTGAATAATAAAAGCTCCAGAGGCAATGTGAGTGGGACTGTTTTACCACAGAATAGAACTGAAAGGCATAAGCCAACTAAATAGAGGACTGCTGAGGTACCCGGTGTGAAAGCCCAAGCCACTGCCTGTTCTTTTGTCTCAAAGTATCTAGCTTAAAAATGAAATTGGAGTTGTTTGCTTACTGCAGATTCTGTCCGTTTTTGTTTAGCAGCTGCATTCCTCTTTACTCCAGTTTAGTAGAAGCGTAGGTAAGATCTGGATGTGGGTTCACATATGCAGTAACATACCATAGGTTTCCTGCCAGAAAAGATTCCATGGTTTTCTTCTGTACATGCACAATTCCCACTGTTGTCAAATGTAGTATCGTCAAAACAAATTTGTTTTCCCATCGATACGCTGAAGAAACAAAGTGGAAATGTTTCAGCCTTGTAAAAGGGCCGAGACTACAGTATATTAATTGGACCTTGTTCACAGCGTAGGTCACAGAAGGTCTCAGTGACTTCGTAAAGCTCCCAAGAAGCTTAAGTTCAAGCTTTTGGAGTAAGAGGAATTACTTTCTTCTTTTTCTCCTTTTTTTGCTTGTTTCAAACAAAAATAGGGTGAGTGTTTTCCTTCTTCCTCCTGAATTTGATACAGGTGTCCTTCTAGGTTTTGAAACGCTGACCTCCACGAGTGTCCGCATGTGCACATGTGAAACCCTCGTGGCTGAGCTAGTCTAGTGCACAGAAGTGAACTGCTTGTGTCAGGCTTAATGTTCTCTCAAATTTATGATATTTATCTTTTGAAGAGGATGAACTGGAGCAGCTGGAGAGAAATGAAAACACTCATTCTTCACTTTATGAAGAGTGGAACGATGATTTAGACTATGTGTTGGCTCTTAGCCTGCAAAATGAGAATAATCCTCACAGTAACACTGCAGCTGAAATTCCCAGTGACTTCTGGGAAAAATACTACACCAAAGAGTCTGTGCCATTGGCCAGTCTTAATGAAACAGACAAGTCAAATATCTTCTCCCGTGACTCTTTAGTGTCTTTCAGCACGTCAGACCATCTAAAAAGTAAGTATAAATGCTGTTGTGCTGGGTTTTTTTTCCTTCAAGTTTGAGAGAATGGAGAAGGAGAGAGAGGATTCTTGGACTGGGAATGTCAAACATTATTTAGGTATTTTAAAATATCAAAATGAATCTCTTTGAGACTCCCTCTAAATCATTTTTAGATAATTAATACACAGGAGATTAGACTGTCCATGAGTACCATTCTTCCTTCCTTTCTTAAAATTTATCTTCTGCTTCCTTGAAACTTAGCTATATTAGTGTTTAAGATCTTTTCTTTCAAAGAGGTATTACAAAAGCAAGACAGCAAGGGAAGAAGAAATAAAAGCTGTAGCTCTTGACCTTGGTATGTGGTGAGAGCTTTGTAACAACTGAGTGGGTGACAACTTTCTTGTTGAAGTAAACATGAAAGGGAGGATCTGGGGGAGACCTGAAGTGCCAGCTTATTTTAAAAAGAGAAACGGTACTAAATGATTTATTGAGGGCAGTAATAGGCTTTTTTACCAGACCGTTCAATATGTCTTTGACCCCAAAACATTGTTCTCACTCTGGGTGATGTGAATTTGCTTATGTGAAATTCAGCAAGTGGGACTAGAGTTAGCTATTTCCTTAGCATTTGCTCTGGTTGCCGTCCTGTGGCGCAAAACAGGAGTCTGTTGCTTAGGAATTTTGAAGGTAAGTCGATCCAACAGCATCAGACGTCTCTATGGTAGAGGATATAACCATTACATACTTTGCAGGTGACGAGATCATCATGCTACCATGTGAATTTTGTGAGGAGCTCTACCCTGCCGAAGATCTGATTCTTCATCAGGTTTAGTACCTTCTTGTACTGTATCTAGGGGGTTGCAGTGAAGACTTTTCTGCTACCATGACTGAACAAGGGTGCAGTCTTCACTCAGTGATACTGTGAAAACTCTAGCAATTTTGGTTTTGCAAAGCATGGTTTGGAAAGTCCATCTATGCTCAACAGGAGAGCTAATTTTTCCATGTTGCTTGCTTAACAGACAGGCTGTAACCCAGCAAGTGCCTTTGCCTCGTTCAGTAAAAGAAGTTCTTCTCCACATCCACAAGAACATGATGGTCTGCGTGCTACTGGGTCCAAAAGCTGTAGGTCTCTGTCTTCGTCCCAGCCCCAAGCTGTCCAGGCAGAAAGAGACATTATGATTCCGTGTGAATTTTGTGGCATCGAGCTAGAAGAGGAGACTCTCTTGCATCATCAGGTACTAAACAGAACTTGATCTGTTGTATCACATCCAGTTGTTCCAGAACTATGCCACGTCCTGCGGCCTCTTGTTGTGGCACGTTTCAGGAATCCAAGTAACTGCACCCTGTGTCAGATCTTCCTCAACAAAGCCTCTTGGGTCCCATCTGAAATGTTGTGGTATGCTGAAGCTCTTACTGAAAAATAACAATTAGTTTTGAAAGCCCTTATAACAAAAGCTAAACAAAAGGCCCTGAAATTGCACAATATAAATATTTGACTTTTATGTTGAAACCAGGATGTATGAATCACAGCTAAAGTGGGAGAGGAGCACAAGTGCGTGACCTGTGTAGGTAAGAGGGGAAGTAGACAACACAGGCTACAAATCTTGGAGATGGAGGAATGTCTCAGAGGGTAGATGTAAAGAGAGAGAGAAGGGGTAAGAGCGTGAATATACCTGAAGCTCAGCCTAAGAGAGATGCGGTGGGTTTATGGAACGATGGGTGCTGCAGTGCTTACGAGGGTATTCCGATTCTTCTATACACTGCTGTCTGATCCTGCTAATATGGCAAGAACGCCAGGATTCGGTACTGCTGAAGCTGTTACTGCTTTTCAGGAATGCTGGACAGATACCAACTAGACTGCTTGGTGCTTTAATGCTTCTGTACACCTAAAGAGCAGACTTGGAGAGTGGTGTGCATGTGGAAGAGACAGTCCTCTGGAATTTGCTGCTGTTAGAGACAAGTTACGAAAATGCTGAACTTGCTCATTTTCAGTTTCACAGCTGAAGGAATTGGGAAGTTAACGGTTCCCTACAGTCCTAACTAACAAACTTAGCGAAACTGTGTTTTGTTTGTTTGTTTTTCTAGGCCGTTCCTCTCTTTGGTGATAGTAAATGCAGCATTAATAGAAATGAGATATGATAAAATTTCATAGCTTATCTGTGCTAAGTAGTAGTGCTTGACACTAAGGAGAGGTCCCATCCACTTCCTATTACAGCTGGCTGTTGGAAGACTTTGGTGTTTTTTCCCTCACCCTACCTAACTCTTTTGGAAATGCAGAGTGCAAAGACTGCTTTATCTACAAGCTTGTAATGTTTTTGGTGACATTTGTGTATGATAATCAGGACTTGTTAAGAATTAGTGATGGGAGCTGAGTTGCCGCACTATAGTTTGTTTGCAAACCACGAAAAGGACACCCTGTATTTAAAGTTTTGTGTTCCACATAGTATTCCTGGTAACAAAGGTAACAAATGTTTTTCTTTCTAGTTCATATTTTTGTGTCCTGTGGGTTTCTGTCGTCTTGTTTTGTTGTTCCTTGATGTAATTAACGTGCAGAAAAACGTGACTTTATAACAAGGATAGCCAACACAGGCACTTCTGTGGGCAGCATGACTTGGAAATCACTTTTACCTTGATTTTTGTCCTTGGATTTGTTTTTTATGATGGCACTGATACCAGGTTGATACCAGGAACTTGATCAGAATTATACTGACAGTACTTCAGGGCTGCTTTCGCCATGCTTGGGACTGACTTTGCAGGGTCATTTTTTAGGTGCGAGAGGCAGAAGGCTGAATGAGAGAGCGTCTGGTTGTTGCCTGGCTGGCAGCGAAGCTCCAAATACAGGGTGGTTCGCTCCAAAGACAGGTTGGTTCGTTGCAGCAGGACTGGCTCACGCTGCCAGTTCCGTTTTTGCTTAGGTCCTGTGCTAGCTAGTGATTATTCCTGAGCTCTGTGTAAGAGAAAACGTGGGTGTTGGCAAGCAGTATCTGCCTCTTCCTAAAAACAATTCCCTACTAACCTTAATCCTTCTGAGGGGTGATGCTCTGCAGTGTTTTTACAGGAATAAGTCTGACTGAGCTGTCATTTCAACAGTCAAATGTATATTTTGCTTTAGCACCATTGTGATCTGCGCCCAGCCAGCCCAGCAGCTGGCTTTCCACCTCGGCAGTTGTCTCCTCAAGCCAACAGAGAGAGAAGAGAATCACCAGAGCTGGCTCGGAGACGAATCAGGCATCAAGGTGTGGGCAAAATGCAGACTTACGCATGCTCTTTTCCTTTACGTTTGCAGGAACACTGTGCGTGTTCCAGGCTGAACAGGTGTTACACTGTTCTGTCTCCAAAATTTAAAAATGTTCGATCCCTTACCGTTGGTCTAGTTTTACACAAGAAAGATTAAATCACTGAAACTCAGTATCCTCAAAGATCTTGGTTCCCTATGCTGCTGGAATGGAAATTAGGTCTAGTTTTGTTACCTGAATAGTCTCTAGTGTCTCATGCTGCATTACGATTCCTATGAAGTGCTGTATTCTTGTCCGCTCAGGAGATGTTTCTCCCCGGTGCACAGAAGGCTTTGGGCAGCAGAGGCTCAGCTGTCCTGCACGAGGGACCAAGTCACTGGGTTTTTGCGCCATTGTCCTCTTCGGCGAGAGCTAGCGATGCTCCCGACTCGAGAGGGAAGCCCAGGAAGGCGGCTGGCAGCGAGGGAAGGCCGAAGAACAGAGGTGCGAGAGAACCTGCAGGTGGGACAATGCCACATGCGAGACCTACTCAGAACTTCCATTCAGAAGCCCTCACATCCAGCTCCTCGAGAATTTCTCCAACCCAACCAAGGTAACGCCTTTCTCTTTGTTTCAAGCAGCCACGCCGGGCCTGCCCTAAAGCGTAAGGGATCGGTGGCACCGTATGAGCAAGTTTTGCTCTGCCGAAAGTGGGGGCACAGCCCTAGGCCTGGCGCATTCTCATCTTCAGATGGCAGCGACCCAACAGCAGCAGTAGGGACAAATCCATTCCCGTCCCCTGCCTCGTTTCCTTATGGTGCAAATCTGGATTCCCTGGTATTTGCCTGTGGCTGAAAGGGTTTCACTTGGCTTAATTTGGCTGGTACTTACCTGAGTTTCAAACGGCAAACTTAGGCTTTTATATCAAAGTAGAATGGACAAAATGGTCACTGGGAGACAACATCGGATAATGCCTTGTTATCTATCCATTGCAGCGCTCTCATCTTAGCTTTTCTCTTTGCTCCTTCAAAACTCAAATGTACATAAACCTAAAATGAAATCGAAAAATTTTAGTGTGATGCCTTTATGGCTCATCACCTACTTCCTTTGCTGCTTAATTCAGCTTGCGCTACCGCTAGCCTGGATCACCTGTTGTGTTTGTTTTTTCTTTTCCCCCCTCCACAGTGCAGGGTGTATTACTGAAATGCCTGAAGGCAGTTGACTGGATATGATTCTTCCGTTATGAAAATAACTGGGTCAGGTTCAGGAGAAGAATGAAGGGCTTTTTCCTAGGCCTTCCAGAGTCTCCCTGGTGTGAAGGACCTGTGTTTATTCAGCAGTAAGAGCACTGAAAGAGGTAGGCTTGCTTCATCTGAAAGCGTCCCTGTTGTTCTTCTACAGCACCAGCAACGGAGGAGGAAGGAGCCTCGGGACGTCGGACGGGCCAGTCGGCTTCAGGCGCTTTTTTTGTGAGCCAGCCAGCGCCAAGGCGGAGCGTGGTGCTGCGCTCTGCGATCGGCTGTGTGCCAGACGCCTCCGTTTTGGAGAGGACAGTGCCTGGCTGGTGCTGCTCGATGGTTTTGCCAGGACGATGAGCTTATTTTACAGTGCTTCCTGCTTCAGTGAGATTTTTATCGATTGCTTGTTATCAAGTACTGTTCGAAAACAGCACCTATACTTTTTTTTCT